GTCATTACATTGCCCCCAGCGACACAGATTGGCCAGACGGTCGATGAACAGAAATGGAAATTTGTAGTAATTGGGCTTAAAATGTTTGCACACGGGGCCCCTAACTCTCTACGGGCTTTTCATTGATCTCTTGCTACGGGAGAAAAGCGCAAAGAAATGACACCAGCAGCTAAAGTGGACAAGCCATTTCAGGATGTGGGCCCGGTTAAAATAATTTTGTTTTCAGAGCTCCAGTTGAGAATTTCTCTGGGTCTGCCTTTTGAGTTTTAGGGCCTTTTTTTTAAAATTCTCACAATCTCCTTTATTAGACGATGCACTCACATTACTTTCTGTATTTGTGTTGATATATGGGGTCTTTGGACTCATACAGAAGCAGAGTGGGTGAATTCATCTATATCCTCAATCATCATCACTGTGGCATTAAACAAAGCCTTAAAAAAACATTAATTTCCTAGACACCAGTGTTTGAAGATAACAGTCCTGTTAGCATCGGAAGCCTGTTTTTTAAAAAAAGCCTGACGCACATTTCTAAACCCAAAAAGTCATCACTGTAATCTCACCTTCCATGAGCTGGTAAGGTTGCAGTTACATACATTCACCTCTAACACAATAACTACATCTTAAGTAATTCACTGTATGTGAGATTCTTTAAAATCTGATAACACAAATGTAAATATTTATAAAAGCAAACTGCTCAGATTAAATTATCCAATTTAAACATTCAGCGCAAAAGCATTCATTACATTCTCCCCCTCTACATGGTGTCTCCTGAACATCTGCAGCATTATATTAGAGACTCCACATTCATTTGCAAGTAGTTCAGTTTAGGAAACCTGGTTGGCATGGAAAAGTTGGGCCGAAGGGTCTGTTTCTCTGCTGTATGACTCTATGACTTTATGACTTTATATTCATTACCTCAGTGAGTTCAGACTTTCCAATGAAAAAGTTAGCTAATAGTTCCTTTGTTGAAAGGTTCTTTCCCCTTTCCAGCTCTTCCCCACCCACCTGCCTCCTTCAGTTCGCAATCAAATTGCAGTTCAATTACCTTTGTTCATATTTTTTTTAAAACAGAAGTCTGAACTGAGCAAGAGATGAACGAGACAATTGTATCATTTGGAAAATAACTTGAGCTGTTTGTCACCACTGGACAGGTTATTTCATTGGTGTACATTGGACAACATGAATATGACCGGTTCGAGCTATGGAGATGTCATTGATAAAAATAAAACTTCCCACAGAACTTTGGCTGATGAACAGAATCTAACTAAGTTATTACATGGACTTCTCTTGAAGAACTTAGAGCACAAGCTGTTTCAACTATGCTATCCTTCTCAAAAAGGGCACTTCACCAGTGAAGCAATTGCAATTCCCCTGGTGACAAAAGTATGCAAAGTCACGGACTGGATTTCTTTAGAAAACTGGGACACTTGCCAGACAACTTTGTAAGTGAGTAAAATATTGAAATGTCAGATGTGACAAAAATGATCAGTCGTCTAAGAAGCCTTCTCCCCATCCCTTTGAAAGTACAAGAACTGTCTTTTTGCACCAACAGTGTGAGGTTTTTTTAAAGTCATAGTTTTTAAAGATAAATCCCATTTGGCTAGCAATTATAAACTTTTCAGAAAATAATTTAATAAATCTACTAAAAATGCATGAAAGAGCAATTAAACGGAATTAGCCCTTAAAAAGCCATGACTTTAATATTTTGATAATAGTCATTTTTCTTTCTTTGATCCATCGGAACAAAGATCTGTGAAGGAGATCTTTTTCTGGTGTTTTAATTTCATAATATTTTGTGAAAGTTCAAAGAAATCTTGGGCATGTGTTGAGCTTTATTTTGTAAATTATACAAGCCATTTTTTAAGCAAATCTTTTCAGAACCTCCATCCTCAATCTGTTCAATGGGTTAAATTGTTTAATAGTACATTTTCACCAAATGTATCGCCATTCCTTCATGGTTGCCGAGTCAAAATCCTATAATTCCCTCTCAATGGGCACTGAGAGTAAACCTACAGCAAGTGGACTGCAGAAGTTCACCACCACCTTCTGAAGGGAACTAGGGACGCACACTAATTGCATAGATAACACTGCACTAGGATTAAATAAGAACATCACAGTTGTCAACAATAGCTGTTAACCACTGTAAGTACCATCTTTAAAGTGTATCAATCTTGAATTCAGTCATGATTAATGCTTATTTTGTATAGATTAACAATAAGTCAGAAGAAGCAGTTAATAAATAAGAGTAAATAATAGTATGCTAAACTCTACAGATAAATGAGGTGTGCAACCATTTAAGATTTCAAGGTTTAATGCACATGTAAAAGACTAGAATGGCCTATTCATTATTCATTTCTGTTCAGAGATTAGAATCCTGATCTAGTTTTGGGAAGATCAGAAACTCTAACAGACCATGTGACCTATGCCAAATCCTTTATCCTTGTTGTGTGCAGTACAGTTTAATCACATGCACCTATCCTGGACCCTACTTTTCCCCAAACATCTAAATTATCCATAAATGTTGACATGATCTCCACTTCCAACAAGTGCTTGCAGATTTATTCCTCATTCACAGGACATGGGTATCAGTGGCAAATCCTAAATCAATTATAGCTCACAAGGGGAGGCCATTCAATCAGTCATGTCCATGCCAGGTCAGTGCAACAGCAGCTCCGCTAGTCCCACTACCTTCTCTCCACGCCCCACACCATAGCCATGGAAATTTCTTTATGTGCTTATTTGATTGCCTTTTGAAAATCATTTTGGACTCCACTTACACTGCATGCTGTTTTGATCCCAGCTACTGGCTGTGCAAGAGTTTCTCGTGTTACTGGTCTTTACTTTGAAGTTAACGCCCTGAATTTCCCCACAGGAAGGTGGTGGATATCTACCCCTCGACAACTGAGTGTCATACTAGGCAATTTGAAGGCAGGTAATAGTCCTGTCTTGTGAGCATCATATATACAGGCCAGTTTGTGCAAGGATGGTAGATATATTCCTGAAAGGATTTGGATGAATTAGGGTGGATTTTTACGATAATAAGTCAACGTTATTATTACCAATGCTAGCTTTTTATTTCAGTCTTATATAATTAACTGAAGTTAAACTCTCCAGGTACCATGGTGGGATTGAATTTGTGACAACAAATCACTAGTTCATAGACTTATCAGCCCAGGAATATAATCATAATACCACTGCTCTTGATAAAAACAATGTAAATTGCAATGTCTCCCATTATTTTTAAAAATAAATTATGGTTTTAACAAACATGTTTCAAAGATTCATATCAGTTTATGTCAGTGTGTAATGTCGTAACTGTCAGTGACATGAAATCCATGCACAAGTAACATTTTTATAACACTAATGAGCCGTCTGTAGTAGTACTCAAAGTAAGTCCAATGACACTCAATGACAAGTCACGTTGCAATTGCTGAATCTCACACTGCGTGGCTGCCAGTGACACAACAGTGGATTAGAGTTCTGTTATTCTGCGACAAGTGACCAATCCTCACTTCACAAAACCTCTACCAACTGTCAGGTACGAGTCAGGAGACTGATGGAATATCTTCTAATTGCCTGGATGGGTGCAGCTTTATCAAATTCAGAAAAAGCATTCTGAAGATGGGTCACTGCATTTGATACGTTAACTCTGCTTTCTCTCCACACATGCCACCAGACCTGCTGAGTTTCTCCAGCAATTTCTGTTTTTTGGTGCAGAGAGAGCATTGTTTTATGAAACAAAGGATTGAAAACAGAATGTATATTTCAACTGACGTTTGTGTGTTCCCCTTCAAGACTACAAAGCCTAATTGATATTTAAGTAAACATGACATAAGTTTGCACATTAGATTAAGAGGCAGCAGACATGGCTCCAGAACGCACAACTTTTAAGTGGAATTTTTGTGCAGTTCAAAATGTTGCTTGTTTATATTTGTTGAAAATTTGACAGAGAAACACAAAGGCTTCACATTAATATTTCCCTATTCTCCCCCTTGATAACACCCCACATTTCCTATTTAAACTGTTAGTGTTCTCTCTTTTAGTTCCTGACTGGCAACCTGCTCCAAGGGCTTGCTCAACCTCATTCTGCAAATAACCTCAAGGTTCCGAATAACTTATCCTCTAATCTTTTCCTTCCTTCTACTGAGCACATAAGTAGCGTTTGTTTTGCGACTATTCAGCACAATGCAATTTTAAAAGCATCTAAGACCAGACTGCCTCTGTCAGATGAGATGCAGTTGAGATGTCTCAAAATAGTGGTTCTCAAACTAAGCAGCTGCTTAGATGTGCCCACAAGAAGAAAATACTTAAAACTGTGCAATTGGACTGAGTCAAACTTCCCTCTCATTTGAAATTGATTCAGACAAGACGCTGTACTAGCAAAAATCTCCTGTAATTTGATGGTTTGAAATTCTATTGTTACTGAATGATTGTTTACACATCCACTGCACAGCCAACTAACTGCTTCTAAGAGCTAAGTGGAAGCGATTTCCTCAGCTTCACTTTGGCTAACCTCCCAAAGACCATTGAGGAAATATCAACACAACTTCCTTTAATAAATCATTGAGTAACTATCTGGGCAGAGTCTGCAAACAAGGAACCATATTTCAATCCATTACACAGAATCTTGTTATATTGGAGCACATATATCTCACTCACTCAGTTTGTATCAACAAATCTTAATGATTACTCTGGCAACCAAGCCTAGTAGTGAATAAAATATAAATGGAGACATCCTTCGTTACCTTTCTTTTTTTGGAGAGATCTGAGGCCTTAATATCACAGACGTTATTAATAAGCTTTCTTGCCTATGGCTATTATTAAATGCCCTGCTTCACAAAAACAAAGGAGCAAAAACATCTGTAGGCAGTTTTGTCCTTTCTAGTCACCTGGCATCTATTGAATAGCCAGTGAGCAGCAAAGCCCTGGTTCTCTTAGCTGATGGAAGCTTCAACAAAAATGCAGGTTAAATGTAAGAAAATGATCAAAGACTCAGTTGGTTCTGTCCTGTACAGTTTATTATTGACTACTTAATACAAAAACAAACGTAGTGTATAAAGATAAAAGCATTTTTTGTGAATATGTTTGAAATTACAGACAAAAGCTCCTAGAGGCAGATTATTGGCATCAAGCCAAACAAAATCAATCCCATTTCCCTACCAAAAGAAAGTAAAATAACCGTCAATCATAAGGCAATTAGTGAACATAACTGTGCCTACAAAAACAATACGATTTAACACTTAACTAAGCATCCAAAATTTTCCCTCCTAGCGCAAATGGCATGCAACTCGTTATGTAGTATACTCAACTCATACACCATGAACACAGCAACTAAACATATGCCAAAGCCATGGTTACTTACAGCACCAACTTTCTTGCCAACACAATGCATCTTGACCATACTCAGGATCTTTGTAGGTCCGGAGTTTTCCACCTGCAAAGAACTGAGGCAGTGGTGCCCTTTGGTCAACTGGTCCTTGAAAAACTAACCAGTCATTTAGTGTTTCTGAAGCTCCTTCATTTTCAAAACTAAGATATATAATAGCTGGCTCAGGAAATAGGCATGAAACACCCAGTTCCTCTATAGGCAGCAGCTAGACTGCTGAAAAGATCCTTAATGTTAAACCCATCCACTTAAAACAGCTTGCGCTATAACTATTATGCTCTCACCAAATAATAATTGCATTAAAAGTTGCACACAGCATGAGGTATTAATCAAGTTAATGATCTTTCTCTGACAATAATGTCACACTATCTACAGCTCCACTTGAACAGTTTTGTTAGCTGAAGAGAAGCAATGAACTTGCTTTAACCGTTCCAACTGAAATTAAAGCAGCGGTGGAAATACAGGTGTAAAAATTAATTATCTTGTACTTTAAAAATCCAGAACATTTTATGCATGTCCACTTATACACTTCCATATCAGAGGACTTATTGTGCAAAAAAAAATCAATGGAGCTGCAGATTCAGAGTGCATCTAAATGTTTCTTTTAAAGCAGAATTTACCAATTGTATCATTTTATTGATTTAAACACCAAAGTAAGTGAATTGTATTGGTTTTTGTGGAAGGAAAAACTGTGTACCATGTTATTCTCAAAAACTGATAAAAGAAATTCTGGAATACTCCGCACCAATTTTAATAAAGCAAGCAGTTTGGCTTAGGATATGCTCAAAAAAAGATAGATTTACATTTATGCAATACCTGGGACACTTACATCTCTCAATGTGCTTCCCAAACAACTAATTAATTTGAAGTGCAGTACCTGTTAGGTAAACAATCATAGTAGCCACTTTGCACAATACAAGGTGCTACAAACATGAGTGAGGTAAATAAACAGGTAATATGTTATTGCTAGTGTTAATCGACAGAAAACCATTGGCAGGACACTGGGAGAATATCTTGTTCTTGCAATGGAATATGCCTGTTCACCTGAGCCACTAAAGAACAAAATCTATTCCAAACAGTGGCATCTTCAATAATGCAGTCTTCCCTCAATATTATTAAGTGCATCAGCAATAGATTAAAGGCTCAAGTCTTGGAGTGTTGCGACTTGAACTCACAACCTCCTGACTTCTGTGCAAGATTTCCATCAACTGAACCAAAAGGAACAAGCACCTTTCACAAACCTAAAAAAAGACAAGCCTTAAGATACCAAAATTGTGGAAGGGAATGACTGAAGATGCATATTTAATACATGTATGGATTGCTAATAACCTCACAGCACAGCTAGACCTTGATGTTTCAGTAAACCAGCATTTTAAGGGAATCTGTGACGTGTTTGAATTTCATTCTTGGAATTTACCAAATTATGAGGTTTCACTACAGACTTTCAAATTGCAGCCCACTGAATTTTGCTAAAGCAGCATTGCTGGTCCGAAGATTTGGAGGCATTAACCTGATGTAAAATAATCTGACAATAGTCTACGTTGACAACAGATCATAAGTAAGCATTTAAGCTGCATCAGTTTTAGTTTGGCAAGTAAATAGGTAACTATTGGTTTACTTTGGCCCTTCATCAAGGTCTAAAAAAATAATGATGGGGAAGGGAATTACCACCATTAACTATCTTCGCTTAGCAGTGAACTTGTCAGCAGGAATATTACTTGTGACACAAAGCAACTGTGCCAATCAGCTGGAAAGGATAATGAACATGGTCATTAATTCAGTTGGCATTTTGGAGCTTTGTCAGCGGTGTATTTTTACTTTATTGGAAAATTAAAGACAGGGTAGTATACTGACTGTTTTTGCTGAATTTAACCCAGTGCTGAAAGATTATTTTATTTCAGGGATTCCACTGGGCTACACCATAAGCTATAGTTTCACCTCAGTGATGATCATTTGAGTGACGTAGACAGGGACTCAGTGAAACAGACCAAAATCTGCCAGTTGGAAGAAAGGGATTATATGGCTGTGAAAGCTTCAGCATGCTGAGCAATTATATATGAAGGTTTACAAACTATATAAAAACCATAGAAAGATTCCCATTGTAATCAAATAACATCAATACAAATAGGCAAGGTAGAAAATATATTTGTGATTACAAAAGAGCGATACAGAAATTCCATGCAAGGATTGTGAAGATTGTTTCCTCTTCTGTTTTGCCATAAACTCATACAGTCAGCATTGAATCTGAGGGACATCAAGAGTGTTTGCAACCATGGCACTTCCCTACAGAAAATAATACAATGGTGTTACTAACAGCCAGCAGCCTTACCATAGTACATTTACATACATCGCAGGTACCATATACAATCCTCTACCTCAACTGATATATTAAAACGATTACATTTGGTTAAAAGTAATCTTTTTATTATCTGAACAAGTACAAATGCTGGAAGGTTTATTACGGTGTCAGCGGTTTTAATCTTATGCCAAAATGTCACTGAACAATTAATTAGTGTGAACAACAAGGGGGACAAAATTCTCAAAGTTTTCATCAGTTATGGGGCTTGGCTAGGCACTGCACATTAGAAAGAATGTCAAAGTCTCAGGGGACATGAAGAGAGGATTTGCTAAAATAGTTCCACAGATAGGATGGCAGTGAAACTGGAGGAGCTGCAACTCTCTTCACTGCAGAGAAGGTTAAGAAGAACTTTGATAGCAATATTCAAAAGTGTGAAGGGATTTTGACATAATGAATCCGAAGAAACTGCTTCCAATAGCAAAAGGGCAATATCTGAAGGCCATAAGCTTTAAGATGGCAGGGAACAGAACCAGGCTTGGCATTCAAAAAGGAATTGGATAATTAGCTAAAATGGGGAGAAAATCATGCAGGTCAATGGGCAAGGGGGGGAATGTTCAGCACAGATATGATGGGCTGAGAGGCCTCCTTTTATACTGTATTATTCAATGATTCTCTGAATCAGATGTCACAAAATGTCAAAAACACTCCTGCAAAATATGCACATCCATCTTGATTTTGCTGCATTCTACTCGGATTCTCATTTCTAGGCAACACTATTCCATGTTTTATTATTTAAAATCTCTGTTTTCCACTCCTGAAGATCACATCAGTCTATAGTTCAATCTGTCCTCCCTGAACATTCCTTGGAGTCTGTATAGGGAATGCCATTAATGCTCTTCCTCCACGGTGAGCATTGTAAGTGAGGGTGATCCTATCATCACCTTTTATTCAGGAGTCTGCAATCGTAAAGATGGTTCTATGCCAATCGATTTCCTGTTGCAAATATGTAATGCCCTTACCATTGGTCTGACAGAGGTCAACTGACTTAAAATAGTCACAGAGGTTCACACTTCCATATTTCAGTCCCACACTGAAAAGTGCATTCAGCAATCAAGCTTTAGGTCAGAACTCCATGTTCAATCTTGTCTTTTACTTGTTTTGAGGATATCCAGAGGAAGCAGGAGAGGAACCTGCTCCTAGGAGTCCAATACATTTTTAAGAGGTAATGTCGCAAAGTGGATCTCAGATTCATCTAGATTGTTTTATATGGCATCACTACAGCTAGAGGATGAATTATCCCTGACTGATATCTGCAAATTCAGCACAGACTAGAGGCTGAACCACTGAGGTTTTAGTTTCATATTGCCTTCCGCCAAGGCTCCAGGGTCCATGAACTAGAAAGTTCATTAGTTTAGAGGAATGATTCCTACTTTGGGATTATTGATTAAGGTATCCTTGGAGGATTTGGATTATGGCCTGGATGAACCCCAAACCTTTGCACAAACAAAGGAGAGAATGTTTTTCCAAATATAGCAAGTTATGTTGACCTCAAATGTCTTCCCTCAAAGGACTGTATCAACAGATTCAATAGCAGCTTTTAAAATGGAATAGGATGTACATTTGGAAAGTTAAAAAATTGAAGGGCTATGAGCCAGGAGCAGGGCAATGAGTAATTGGATTTATTTCCTAAAGAACAAAAGAAAGGAAATCTACTGTGCTGTTTGAAGTAAGACACAAAGTATATTTCAAGTTCAATAAAAATTCTTTGAATTTAAAATATAAAACTCTCCAGTCACAAGGATTTAAAAAAAAAAAATCATTCATGGGATGTAGGCACCTCTGGTAATGCCAGCATTTATTTCCCATTCTCAAATGTCCTGAAGAAGGTGATGGTGAACTGCCTCGTTGAACCGCTGCCATCCACATGGTGTAAGAAGATCAACAATGCTGGTAGGGAGGGAGCTCCAGGATTTTGACCCAGTAACTCTAAAGGAATGGTGATATTGTTCCAAGTCAGGAAGGTGAGCGGCGGGTTTGGAATGTGCTCTCAAGGCTGCTTAGAGTCAAAGAGTCATACAGCACGGAAACAGACCTTTGGCCCAACTCGTCTATGCTGACCAGGCATCCTAAATTAATCTAGTTCCATTTGCCAGCATTTAGCCCTGTCCCTCCAAACCCTTCCTTTTCATGTACCATCCAGATGCCTTTTAAATGTTGTAATTGTACCTGCCTCCACCATTTCCTCTGGCACCACCCTCTGCATGAAAAAACTGCCCCTCACGTCCCTTTTAAATCTTTCCCCTCTCACCTTAAACCTATACTCTCTAGTTTTGGACTCCTCCACCCCAGATAAAAGACCTTGCCTATTTACCCTATCTATGCCTCTCATGATTCTATAAACCGCTAAGAAGGTCACCGCTCAGCCTCCAGCTCCAGGGAAAATAGCCTCAGCCTATTCAGCCTCTCCCTATAGCTCAAACCCTCCGAACCTGGCAATATCCTTACACCTCTTTTCTGAAACCTCTCAAGTTGTACAATATCCTTCCTATAGTAGGGAGACCAGAACTGAATGTAGTATTCCACAAGTGGCCTAACCTATGTCTTGTACAGCTGTAACATGATCTTCCAACTCCTATACTCAATGCATTGACCAATAAAGACAAGCATACCAAACACCTCCATGAATTACTGCATACATTTTGTAGATGGTACCCACTGTTGCCATGGTTGTCCAAAGTGAAGAGTCAATATTTGTGAATGGGGTCCCAAACATGTCAGCTGCTTTGTCCTGGATAGAGTCAAGTTTGAATGTTACTGGAGCTGCACTCATCCAGGCTGCAGAATTCCTAGTCTCTGACCTGTTCTTGTAGCCACAGTATTTGTATGACTATACTCCACTATTATTCATCTTAGTCACCAGCCTGCATATCTCTAACTTTTATTCTATGATGGCTTCCTTCTAGGCTATTGGTCAGCAAATCAACAAAGTGGATTGGCTGCATATTATTGAGCCCAGTGAAAGTGAAAGAAAAAAATAGTCTGCGAAGGACATGGGCAGGGTGTAGGGAGATTTCCCAGAATTGTAACTAGAATGTGAGAGATTTCTTTTACGTGGAATGACCAGAATTATCCTCATCATGGCAGAGAATGTAAAGCGGAGATTTTAATAGAGGCATTTAGAATTCAAAGGGGCATTATTAGACCTGTCAGCGAGAAATTATTTTCGTTCGTACGAGGTTGGTAACCAGAGGACACACGTTTGGCCAACTGGTGAAAGAACAAGGCATCTGGATGGCTATGTAAATAGAAAGGGTTTAGAGGGATAGGGGCCAAATGCTGGCAAACAGGACTAGATTAATTTAGATTATCTGGTTGGCATGCACGAGCGGGACCAAAGGTCTGTTTCCGTGCTGTATAACTCTGACTCTATGAAAGTGAAGATTTGAAAATTTACACAGCAAATGATTACAATCTGGAATCCAGCACTGTATCTGAAAGCTTGTCGGGAATAGATTCAATAGCAAAAGAGAATTGGAAATATACTGTAAAAATGAACAAAAAAAGCAGGGCTAGAGTGAAAGCACAGGGGACGGTTACCAATCAGATCAGCTGTAATCCTACTGAATGGCCAAACAGTCTACTCCTGGTCTTATTTCTTATGGTCTTAAGGTCTAATTGGAGCTCTGTCAAAGACATAGTGAACTGAATGGACTCCTGTATCATATGATTCAATGAGTTCCAAAAAAAGACCAAAATTACAGGAATTTCAATTCCAGAGCCGAGAATAACGGGAAAACTGCAGCAGTTTTTATCTGAAGGAAAACAACACAGTTAGCTTAGTGAGGACTGTCAGTCAAAAGTTTAGTAATTTATCTGCAGATAAAATAACAAATCACCCACACCACAAGGAAGCTGTTCAGAGATACGACCATCAAGAATTTGTAATGTGGTGCATTTTGAAACGTAAACATCATGCCCCCAACCCGCATCCAAAAAATTTCAACGAAAAAAAAGTCAGACATATCTGTGGGTCCATGTGACCTCTGGCCAGCCCCACGGTTCAAATTCCACAGAACCACACAACAGTCTGATTGGATAGCATGAAAAACATGCCGAGGTGGAAGCAATTAAACAGAAGCAGTGGGAGGATTCTTTGGGGTATTGTTTAAAATGCAGCTGACAGAGTTTCCCCATTTTCTCCCAAGTTTCATATTTTCACATACATTCCTGTCCCAAATTAGAAACTCTGCGGTAGAACTACACAATCCTAAACATTTATGAAAAAAATAAATCATTTCTCACAGCAGCTTTCCAGCTGTTGCTTCTTTGATTGCACTTTGCAATCATACTTCATTCAGCCAACAATAGGACAAAGTGTTCCACAATTGTGTTTTTTGTTCTGGTTGAAAAACACTCCACATTAACCCTTTGATGTCAACAGTCTTTTCACAATATAGAAATGGATACGGTCCTTAACGGTTCCCTATGGTTCTGAAATTCCCGATCCCAAGGGAATTGGCCTGATAGCTAAAGATGACCATTTATGTCCATCTCTGGAGAGTTCCAGTCATTTCCTGTTGGAGTTGAGAGATCAGAAAAATCCCAGTGGACATTCCACACCTTTTGCATTTCCATCAAGACATTTTGAGGATACTTAGAGAAACAGATTATAGCTAGAGTGGACACAAATAAAATGTATCTGTGCTTATGAAATTCTGACAGCTGGGTTAAAAGAATGATAATTCAATTGTGTAGAGACCCAAGAGCTAGTTTCATGAGAAAATAGTTTAAGTGAATGGACACTCAGAAGCCGTGTTCAGGTGTGTGAGAGATGACTGAAATGAAACCCTGACATCTAACTGCACAATTCTGATAAAGTTTCAATTCCAGAGTTAGGGTTGAACTAAGATTAACAACAACTCTTACCTGTAAATAGAATCAGAACAGGTTTATCACTCAGTGTCCATCTCCATTATCTGCAGGCTTCATTCGCATTTGTGCCTGCATCTGAGCAATCATCTCCTGCATTCGGCGCAACTGTGAGGAGATAATAATTAGATATTTAAATTATATTATTGTACAGCTTAACATAAACATTTACATAAAGGTTATGATTCAACAATTCCACATCAAAACACCCTACCCATTTGAAAACAAGCAGCTAAAGTGCTGCAATAAAAAAAGTGCTGGAGAAACTCAGCAGGTCTGGCAGCATCTATGAATAAAGAAAAACAGAGTCTACCTTTCAAGTCCAAAAACACTTGTTTTCAGGACCGTGCTACGTTCCATGTTCAGATACATACATTATTAACTAGGTAGTTATTTCACTAATTAATGAACGATGAATGTGGTACATTTCAGTCTAAGTTATAACATTATCTCTTAAAAACAGACGTCAATAAATGGCTCCCAGTGAGAACAGAAGGGGCTAGGCCCGAAACGTCAGCTTTCCTGCTCCTCTGATGCTGCTTGACCTGCTGTGCTCATCGAGCTCTACACCTTGTTATCACACATTATCTCCTGACATTTTCAAAATATATTTTATGCTCCATCTAATGGCTATTCACTGATGCAAATACTCAGGATAAGCAAGCAAAACGACAAGCTTCGAAAGGCCATTACAACAAGGATGGTAGGGCAGAGGGATGTAGACTTGGAGAGATGAGTTTATACTGCATCTGAACACTCTGCACCTTGAGCAGAAAGAGTATATGGCCTATGCTTTTAAAGAGCTCAAAATAGCTCTCTGGAGTAGATTAGCGGTTCACATGGATTTGGATAAGCAGCTTCTGTAGCTCCTGCCTCAGGCAGAGGTATGTAGATTACAGAATGGCAAAACTGCAGCCCTAAGACCTTGGTGCATTTAGGCATTTTAACTGAGGCGACTTTATGCTGTTAAAACATTTATTTTCAGAACCGCTTCAAGCATTCCTCAGTTTAAGCGACATTCTCTAAAACATCGTATTTAGGTTGTAGACATGCTCGGCGAGACGGTGGTTTGGTTGCAAACGCTTCGTCACCCTGCTAGGTTCGGCAAGCATGTCTACAACCCGTGCTACAAATCTTCTCAAAAACTTTAAACATCATATTTAGCTTACAGTTTCTTATGCTCATCATTGATTGGTGATGTTCTGTTGATGAGTGACTACTTATTCCTGAGAGACAAATTCCAACATTTTGTGTTTAAACAATACTGTGGAGATTCAGAACCAGTTTGTGAATACAAATCAGAGTCTTTGCCTGAAACAATTTATGTGGAGTCTTAGCAACTGGCCATTGTATGAGAAGGGCCCCGGATGAACTGAACATATCTTGAGCGACGTGTACATGCCTGCATTAGTGAAATTGTCTGTGCTTGCAAACAGACTCAGTCTTGACCATTATAATACACTGATAGAACAGCTGTTTCTGAGCTTCTTGAAGAATGTAGTCTTACACGCTATATTTTAGCAACTGTATTCAGATGGAATGGATGCTCACAGTTCAATTCACTGCACTGGAATAGGTAACTGTTGTATGCATATAACTGAGTATCATTGAGAATCTGCTCAGTGCTGGTCAGCCTCCAGCTTTCCTCAGTATTCATACTCTGACAGTACTGTGCCATCCAGTGGCAAGCACCACCAATCACTTGAGCTCCTCATTCCTACCCATCTCCCCCAACCCCCTACATTCCCACCCCCTTCTTGTAGGGTTGCTGAACACACTCAATGAAATTAAATTCCAGACCACTGGCTGAGAATATTTAATTCTGTCCTCAGCGGGCAAGCCTGTACAGCAGTGAGGAATTTTAAAAAAAACAGTTCTCAGCAAAAGCTCTCTGAATAATTACACGTTGTAAGGGCCAGAACAAAAACAAAATGGAACGGGTGGGCTCATCAGGCCTAATATTAAAGAGTGGGCCAGATTAGAAATATTTCTTGTTGATGAAATGGCAGATTAGATAGGCTTTGAATTATAAAATAAAAAGCAAGAATGAATGATTATCAGAAGCTACTGAGGAGACAATAAACGGTCGCAAACAAGCAAGATGTCAAATAAGAGCTCGCACCACATGGGATTGCAGCATTAGCGTAAAAATCACACAATCAAAACTGAAGGAAAAGCAATGCATATATAAAGGGAAACAAAGTCCTCAAGGGTTTGTTCCATGAGGTTTAATCCTTTCCTACTTTAAACAATCCCTTTGAACAGCTGATATGCAAAGAACTTTTCACAGTCTGCAATTCAAATATCAGGTAAAAATCTGGGTCTTCAAATTAATCCCCCATCAGGTATCTGTAGGTTCGATCTGGCCATCTAATCCCCAAAGCCTTAGCAACTGCATTCTATTTACGTGTATTGTGCCTCTACCTCACATTCTTACACCTCTTATGCCATAGTTTTTTCTGTTTTGGATTTTATGGATCTGTTGATTTTGAAACAGCCATTCCTGCTTGTGCAGAATTTGCTCCTCAAAAGAGAGGAACACTTACTTATTTAAATAAACATCTGATATTAGAATCGTTATGTAATAAGAGAAATGATTTAGACTCAGGCAAGAAGCCCCTGGGGAAATCACAGCCTTTATCTATAATAGGTTGATTATAGTGACAAACTCTGCATTACAATAGGTCAATTATTGTATTGTATTATATTGACTGCACTGCTCTGACACCTGGTTAACGTGACTAAACTGAAGTTGAAGTATTCTCCCCTTGTGCCCTACTCCAAAAATAATTTAAAATAACAGTATATTAAATATATTTGAACAAAAATAAGGGTAATAGTACATTCACAGTCCACAAGGTATCAAGGGATTACTAGATCAGACCACTGACTGCAGCCATTCTGTGCAATTCAAATGGAGATCACTGGAAATGAGAATTAGATCAAGAGTATCGCTGCATACACCTGGAGTCAAATTTTTGAGTTGTTTTTGTCTTCATTAGAGAATTTCTATGCTGTGAGGTTAGTAAAGAAAAGCTTGAGGTTGAAAAGTGAAAGAGAGACATACACCTGCAGAGCACATGTGGAAGAAATCTTTCAAAAAACACCACAGGAGGTAATGGGACTATTTCCAGACATTCAGACAACATCTATAGTCAGCAGGAGCCAGCCTATACCATTAGATGGCATAAGGCAATTACTTTACAGTTCAGGTAATGGCTGCAATATTGAAATGTAGATGAAGAAACAATTACAGGCAAGAAACCCAAAATGCTCTTGCCTTCTTCTGCATGCAGGTTCAGCAGACAGGCATAGGGCAAGATTTTGATGTGTTTCTCATTGGTCTGAATGAGCCTCCCCCATCCTTTGGGAAAGAGAAGTTCCAAACACAAGTTTAACGCACTGCGTCTAAGCAAAATTGTTCCTATGCCGTTGTTCATCTATCACCACCCACATTTCAAAATCCTTTAGCATACAAGCAGCCCACAGCACCAAAGGTCATCAACACATAGAGGTCTATTTTTAGTTGAAGCAACCGTTATAATAAAAGAAGAATTCCATTTTAGAAAGCCTGCAATAAATGATTTAACGGTACATTTACAGTACAGAACTCAACAGTTTTGGTAGTGCATGATGTGGGTGTTAGAAAAAGGTACAATATAAAACCTTGCTGAACTCAATACAGCTGCACAGTCATTGGCCTATAGATAACAGAACAAATCATGTATACCCTGAAGCTGTATGCAGTGTCATACCCATGTGCGTGCTGAACAAAGCTCTTGAAGTAACGTGAATCTATTGCCTCCTCAACACTGTGGCTGAACGCCACAGGCAATCCTGTTGCATCAAGGATCTCCCTCATTTGCTATTGGAGATACAGAAATCTGTTCTGGGCAAGGATTTTTCACAATACCTCTGACAGAAAGCTCCAATTATTTGTGAAGTACAGGACACCCATTAACCATATTTAGGTCAGATCTGCAATTTTCTGTCTGGCAGCAACCTATCAGGATGCCAGATTTGCCAACAATGTATTTTCCATAATACTGGCCTATACAGAGCTTTTTTCATCATTAAGAAACAATTCTTCAATATTTGCAACATCATTAATGTGGTCCATTTGTCATTATAGGATTAGAAAAACAATAGTAAGTACAAGAAATGTGGGTTAGGATTAGGATATATAGCTGCTGATGATTCTTCAAATTAGCCGTGGGAAGTATTGGAAAAAAGTGTTAAAATGAGGGCCTCATAGAAGCATGGGTAGCTGGAGGGGCTGGATAGGAGCAAATGGAGACAGAAGCTTGGGGTTACATTTTTGAGAGTATAGGACTGGAAGAATGCTAAGCAAAACCCATTTGAAAAGTCAAACCTTGAGGTGAAAATTTTGGCAGTGGAGAAGTAGAGTTGGCCATTGGCCAGATCACAGAATGGATACTCCATCAGAAATGGGAGAGGATGAAAATTTGGAAGCTCAGTTCAGACTCAAGTCAAGACAAAGCATCACTGGGCAGGAGATATTTGACAGTTTAGATGTCTGTACAAAATGCAAGTATGTTAAAGACTAGACACTGCTTTCAGTCGTAAAGGATTTCAAAGAGTAACTGAGAAGAGTACAGTCATAAAGTCATACAGTACAGAAGAGGTCCTTCAGTCCATCGAGTCTGTGCCAACTGATCCACACTAATTCCACTTTCCAGCACTTGATCCATAGCCTTGCATGTTATGACATTTCAAGTGCTCATTCAAAGTATTTTTTAATGTTGACATTTCCCACCTCAACTACCCACTTAACAGCGCAATCCAGATTCCCACACTCTGGATGAAAAAATTTCCTCAAATCCTCTCCAAACCTCCTGCCTTTCACCTTAAAAATTATGCCTGCTTGCTACTAACCAACTAAAGCTGCTTTCTATCCACCCTGTCCATGCCACTCAATCTTATACAGCTCAATCAGGTCCCCCTCTCAACCTTCTAAAGAAAACAACCTGAGGCTATTCAGCCTCTCTTCACAGTAGAGGTTTGAATGAAAAAGTGTTGGTGGTCTGATTAGTAAGTTTGCAGATGACACAAAAATTGGAGGAGTTATAGATAGTGAGGAAGGTTGT